AGGAGCATTCTCCGACCCCTTACTCCACAAACCAGGTACAACTCGGACACACAAGACTGCCTGTAATTTTGTGGGGCACACGGCCTTTGGAACCCATTGTGGTTGGACCCCTCATTTAGTCTGAAATGCTTGGATACCACCTTGGTTGCCCCCACTTTAATTCACAGAGCCACTCAACGTGGGTCCCAGGGCCCCATCCATCGTGGCCCCCGGCCCCAGACTCACAGATCGGGGGGCAATAGGCATGCCGCTCTCATCCACGGGCCCGATTCCCTCATACTTGACCCAGCGCTTGTCCCGGCGTTTGCTGTCCTTGGTCCACGTGGCTGACCAGTTCTGGGGGTGCTGGGAGGTGGGGGTCTTCTGAGTCCCTGAGGGCCGGCTCCCAGGGCCTGGCCAGGTCTGACACCAAGCAGGGTCTGCGGGCATGTGCATGAGAGCGTGAGTCCCAGGCAGGGGCCCCACCTGGCCTTGTCCGCCCCTCCGCTCCTCGGAACATTGGTCCTTGTGGGTTGGAACATTTCAACATCTCCTCGTCTGTTTGAGCTGATGACGCAGACTCCACCAACCTCCCATGCCCAGCAGGACCGCAGGCCTCCGCTTGTTTATGTTTTAGTTAAAGTGAATATAAATGGATTTTGTCTTGAGAAATCTGTGCCCACCCCGCCCTGCTTTCCTGGGGCTGTCCTGCGAGCTTCCAGAATGAGGGCTGGGAATCATTACTTGCAGAACATGCTGGGGTGTCCCAGCTGAGGAAGCAGAGGGTGGGGCAGAAAAGACGCTGGGCTTGGAGGGGACGGACCTGAATCCGGGCCACTGCTCTTGGGCACCTACTGGCCATGTGACCTTGGACACAGCAGTCAACCTCCAGTGCCTCAGTTTCCACTTTAAGGGGCATCGTGGCAAGGATTCAGGGGCACTTGGAGGGTGTGATCGTGCCCAGCACAGTGCCTACTGCACGATCGAGAGGCTCTGGATAAGGGACAGAAACTCATTCACCAGACAGCGCTGCGGAGTCCCAGCTTCCCCAGGCCCTCGGCCCCAGGTCCCCAGAGTAGCAGCCTAGGGAAGGGCTTCTGTGTGGATCTTGACTCGGCCACTGTGGCTGAGACTCGGCTCCTCACCGGAAAAATGTCCACGCTTTGCCAGGATGTCGAGGGATTACATAAATGAGGCTCGAAAAGCGTCCTTACAGAGCCCAGCATATTCTGCACGCTCAGCAACCATTTGTTAAAGGAATCGACCCCTCAACATAGTGCCTGCCTCCTCTGGGCCCTGCACCCAGGATGTCCCAGGACCCTGTGGCCCAGGCCTGGGTGACTCCCAGGAGCCCAGGGGCTGACCCGCTCTCAGGGCTGCCTGTCCACCTGTGCTGCGCTGGTTTGGGCCCCACACCCTTCTGCAGCCAATGAGTGCTCACACCCTCCACCCTTCCACCCAGCCCAAGCTGCTCCCTGCCCTACTGGAGCACACCCCACCGCCCTGCAGCAATGCCCCCCCCCCCACACACATACACTTCCTTCCCTGCACAGGGGCGAGGGCAGGGAAGGGATGTGTCAGCGGGTTCTGGCTTTCACTCCCTCAGGCCAGCCACGTGCCGGCCCAGGGGGGGCAGTTAGCTGGCAGGGAGTGCCCCACCCCCATGGGGCTCCTGGACCAGGTTCTCCTGGACAGACCCACCTGGGTGCCGGGAAGCATCTCTCCTCGGTGGGAAGTGCCCATTGCACACGGTCCTGGGCGCAGGGTCATGGAACTGGAAATTAAGGGTGTTGGAGCCACCATTCCGGATCACAGGCACCTGTGGGGAGGGGCCAGCAGGGGCCAGGAGCAGCAGCTCAGGCCCTGAAGTTTCCATGAAGGGTGGGAGGGATGGCTGCCAAGGCTCGGCTGTTCCCCATGGTGGGGCTGCAGGGCCAGCCTGATCCCTAGAGCTGTCTTCTGACCCATCCCCTCCTCCAGACCTTTACCCCTGCTGCTCCCCACCTGTCCTGACAGGTCCCCACGGACTTTGCTGCCTCACTCACCCGAGTCCCCCTGGAGGATGACCCTACATGGGCCTGGAGGTGGGCAGGGATGAAGTCGTCCAGGCTGAGCCCAGCTGGGAGGCTGTAGGGTGGGGCCTGCATACTTGGGTCAAGGTCGGAGGACGCCGGGTGTGCCAGCAGCTGTTCTGCACGTCGTCCTCTGTGGGAAGGAGGGAGGAAGGGAAAGCCCTGCTGGACTGGCTGCCTGTGCCCTCTGGGCTTGACCTCGGGGTGGAGGCAGAGGGGACGGCTGGGTGGGAGCTCCAGCACCCAGGAAACAGGCCACTCCAGGCACCCGCCTGCCGGCTGCCAGGGCTGGCTCCCAGAGGCACAATGGGCTGCTTGTTAGGCCCGGGCAGAGGCTCCGGGTGGGAGTGGGGGCAGGGAGGCTGGCCAGGAGTGGGCCTGCTGGCCAGGCCCTCTGGGGCTCTCACTGCACAGTCAGCCCGTTCCCCCAGAGGGAAGGCAGAGGGAACTGGGGCAGCTGGCAGAGGAGGCCTGGACACGCGGGACTTCGTTTCAGTTCCCTCTGCCTCCCTCAGCCCCTGTGTGAGCATCTGCCCCTCGGGCTGGGGAGAGGCCTTGGGCAGCCACAAGGCTGTCGCCCACTGCCCAGCATGGACAAGGTTCCAGGGAGGGGAGAGCACAGGGCATTTCCAGGCAGCAGGAGCTGCTCCTGAGCTCAGAGGGTTGTCGGCTGCCTTGTTTGGACTCAGGGGGCTCCAGGTGCGAGGGTGCCAGTGGGGCAGAGGCAGAAGGCTGAGCAGTGGGTCAGGGAAACTTGTGCATGAGGGGTGGCACTGATTCTCTCTCTCTCTCTCTCTCTCTCATACACACACACACACACACACACACACACACACACCACTTTCTCCTATACCCCCAGGCTGTTTTTTCAACAGGCCTTTCTGGGAGCAGCATGCCTGACTGGCCAGTTGGGCTCTTTTGCCCCCTGATCAGGGGAAGGGCTCCAGGCTTCCAGGAGATGGAGGCAGTGGGGCGGTCTGACAGGGCTTCACTCCCCAGAGAGCAGTGGTGGGGAGCCGGCCCCTGTCACCTGTCCCGGAGGCTGAACCAACCAGTACCACCTTCTAGACTGGGCCATTTCTGGTGTTTTTGTCCAGTGAGGCTTGTGTGTGCAGTGGGGCCTGGGGGTTCCCAGAAGGGCTGTGAGGGCCTCCCGAGGTGCTCTGTGTGTGTCTGCGTGATGGAATGCAAGGGCAGCACAGGGCAGATGACTTGGGGGGGTTACCACAGGGCGAGGCATGTGAGCAGCATGGGGGTTGCGAGTCAGGAGGGTGTCAGGGTGTCAGCTCTGTGTGTGTGTGTGTGTGTGTGTGTGTGCGCGCGCGCGTGCGCAGCACAAGAGTTATGGAGACCAGAGGAACTGCAGGTACAAGAGGGGTTCAGGTTACTCCTGAACCCAGTTCCTGGGGCATGGAGGGTCTAAACAAGGCTGGGACAGCTCCCAATCTCTGGTCTGAGCAAGGATTTCTTCTGACTCTTGAAAGGCTTGCTGGGGGCCAAGCTTTCCTGGGCCCATCCCTGACTGCAGCGAGAAGTGGAGGGCTGGCCGGGAGGAGGGGCAGCTCACCAGCTGGATCCAATTAGGGCTCCTACCAAAAGCAACACATGCAGGCATACCCCAGTTCCTGCTGCTCTCCCTCCCCTTGTGGGGGGAAATCAAGGCAGAGGAGAGTGGGAGATCCCAAGTGGGGGGCAGGCTGGTTCCTAGCAGCAGCCCCTCCAGGCTCAGCTATCCCAATGGCAGCTGACCCTGCCTCCTACCCAGCCTCCACCTATCCCATCCTGCCCTGCTCAGTCCTCCAGCGGGATGTGGAGGGTGGGGGTCCCCCCACAGCACCCTATTTTTCAGGTGTTGTTGGGGGTCCAGTCTGCCTCTCCCTGGGCACAGCTCCAGGGGCATGCAAAGGTGGGTGTGGAAGGGTGGGCTGAGCCCTTTGCGAGGCAGCCCTGTCACAGGAAGGGGGAGGCATGGGGGAGAGTGGCTCTTCATCTGGTAGAGGACAGAGGGTGCCAGGATATCTCCGGAGTTCTCCCGGGACGCAGGCAGCCCTGCACCCCCGCAGCCAGCTCTGAAGAGCCGAAGTGGTGAGGGCTCTGCTGTGGTCCGGGCTCCTTCGCCCCTGGAAGTACTGTCCGGACCTGGGCTCTGCCCTGGGCGCCTTCGAGGGTATTTTCTAGCTGTGAGTCCACGTGGACAGGACGGGTTTTCTCAAATTTTCCTTTTTGTGGCTTTTAGAGGGGGCACTTCACACCTCTTTCCACCGCATAGTTTGGGGCGAGGACCCTGGGGGAGGGCTCTGTGCCTTCTTTTCGGGCTGGGCGCAGGTGCCTCCCCGCCCCTCTCCTCCCCACACCTACCTTCCCCGGCGAGCGGGTGGCGGGGACTGAGGGCGCCCGGGAGGACAGGAGCATCTCGGCCGGGCGCCTGCCTGGTACGGCCGCGGCGTGCCCTCGGGGGAGGGCAGGGAGCGGTCCGGGCTGCGCTGTCCGCCCTCGTGACCGCGTCAGGACAGGCTCCGCGAGGCCAGGCGCCCGAGGAGGAAGAGGGATGGAAGGGGCTGAGCGCGCGAGAGAGGAAGGACGGGCGAAGCGCGGGCGGGCGGGCGGCCGTCTGCCTTCCTCCAATCTGGACTGGGAGCCGGGGATCGGGGCGGGTGTGGAGGGCCTGCGGGGCGGGGGCTCGGGCCTGCGGCCCAGGCGTGCCAGTGGCCTCTGTCGGGGCGCGCGGCTGGGACGCTGTGGCCCTGGTGGAGGGGGCCGGGCCGGCCGCGAGGAGGCGCCGGGAGGGGCCGCCAGTGTCCCTGGGGAGCCCGCTTTGGTTTCCCAGCTGCCTCCCCGCCCCCCACTGCAAGGTTGGCGTCGGGGCGGGTGCTGGGGGTGGGGTGGGGGCGAGCGCCACTCAGAGTTTCCAGCGACATTTCCAGTGGGTGGGAAGGGACCCGCGGCACGGCGGAGCCAGGACGGAGGGCACGAGTGATTAAAGAGCAGGGTGCAGCCAGCAGCTGATAACGGAGGCGGCAGCCGGGAGAAGGGAACGCGGTGCAGACGGGCTGGGGCCGAGATAGGGCTCTCCTCGGGCCGCGAAGCCCCCGCCCGCCGCCTCCCCCGGGCTTGGGAGAGAGATTTTGGGCTTGCGTAAGCGCGCGTCTGGGTGTGTGCAAGCACACACACACCCGCGTTCGCGCGCTGCCAAACGGGCGCTGCTCACTCGAGCGAGCCCCGCGGCAGGCGGCCGGGGGGAGGAAACGGGCCGACGGCGGCGGCCCCCCGGGAGGGCCGCGCCCCTGAAGAGGATGAGGGCGGCTCCCTTTGGCGGGAACGGGGTGACCGGGTCTTGGTGTTCCCACACACCGCATTTGTTTTGATCTCGCAGCTTTTCCGCTGTTCCCGCGGCTCTGACTGTGGCCCCAGGAGCCCGAACCGGCGGGCTCCCGACCTCTCGGGCAGTCTCTTCTCCCCTGTGCCCGGCCCCTGCGCGCTCACGGGGCCGGCGATGGGGAGCGAGGGCGCTCGGTGAGTGTGCCGCACTAGCTGGAACAACTCCGGAGTACTCCTTAGCCGCTGGCTTGACTCTGGGACTCCAAGTCCCAAATAGCAAAGAGGTATTGGGCAAATTCAGATCTATTTTGGGAGTGGTCGGTTATAAATTAGGAAAATATGAAAGCAGTCGTTGCGTATCTACTGGGGGCAAGCTCGCTGTCCCCAGGCCTCCACGCACTAGAATGGCGAGTTTCAACTAATGTCCGCAAGAATTTTTAACACATGCAGTAGCTGCCTAGTTGGTCAGGGGCACTGACCTCTTTTTCCTTAGGTTGTCAAAAAAAAAAAAGTAGAATAAAAATGACAGCAGCCAACACCACAATAGCCTTCCAGTGTAAATGCCCTGTCTTGAACCATAAATAGATAGGTCCTATAACAGAGCTGCATCTTATTGGTCACGTGGCATGATAAGGTTGCGTCTGATTGGTAAATTCTTGGTACCAGACATCCTTCTGTGCAAGTATAGGCCCCTGATGTTTTAAGGTCACTTTGGAGCAAAAAGGGTAGGCACTTACTATTATTACTTTTTTGGTAAATCAATCAAAATTATACCTTTTTGTTGTCATATTGGCAAAAAATGTTTTGTTTGGTTTTGGTTTTTTGGTGTGCCGCAGAATTTTAGTAGTTTACATGTGCTGTATGATGAAAAAGGTTGAAAATCGCTGCACTAGAGTGTTGTAAAGTGCTTCATTCAACTCAAAAGTTGAGTGGGAGGGGAATGGACGAAAGATGAAGCCACTTGTTCAGTTAACGGGCTATCCATCCTGCTTGTGTTGAAGACGCAGGAAACTATACCACAGTGAACAGCGGAAGGGACGCTCAGGCCGAGGAGCGGAGAGAGGAGCGGCTGCGGGCGGCTCTCGAGTCTGCGGGCTGCACTAGCACACTGGCACCTCTGGGGGCGCACTGGGAAGCCGATGCAAGGTTTCCCAGGCAGAGCTTAGAAATGATCCCGGGGGTTCGAGTCTTGCCAGTCCATGGGGGCGGTATTTTGTAAAGGCTCTTATGACACTGCATAGGGAACTCAACGGGATCCCCTCTAAGGCCCCTTTCAAGCGTCTGTGATTCTCCGGGAAAGCTGAACTATGGGGGTGGGGAGTGGTCACAGCAGCCCCACCCAGAGAAGACAGCCGCAGAAAGGAGGGCTGGTGGCAGTGTGTTTTCCCCTGCTCCAGAGCTTGGACAGCGCTCGTCACCATCCCCTGCCCGCCCCCTCAGGACAAATGATGTGCCCATTTCCCTTGACAAGTTTCCTTCCCCACCTGTCACGGTCCTCAGGACTAGGAAGGGCTGCATCTCTCTCATGTTCTTCCTTGTTCTCCAAAGATGGTGATGCTGAAGATAGTCCAACTCCAGGAACCCTGGTCATGCCCCTTCTCACCAGCAGCGAGCTTCTCTTATTCTCTAGGGCTGTGACCTGGACTCCAAGATAAATATTTAATGTAGAGGGTGCAGCAGAGCCGACCAAGGTCCCAACTTCCTGTTTCTCACGAAAGGAGCTGGCAGCCACAGGTAAGGAGCTGGGGACTGGCTACCAGTGTCATCTCTGTGGGAACGGGGAGCCCAGCACACAGCTCGGTGGGAGGCGGGCAGCGGGACACCTGCAGAGCTGTTTGACTGCTGCCTGTCTGCCGACACCTGGGCTCTGCTGGGCTCATCCCCTATCTCAGCCCAGAGCCTGCTTGGCTCTGGCACCAGCCGAAATCGCTCTCCTTCCCAGGGTCTTAAGTTATGTGCTTGGCCCAAGGAAGAGCTATTGTTTAGATAACAGCTTCCCTTCACCCTGTTTCCTGATGCCCACCAGCCTCACAGAAGAGAGGATGAGAGATTGGTGGGAACAGACAGCATAAGGCATCATGACCAACCGACACCTTTCCTGCCCCTATTTAGGGGTAAGAATCCCTAAGGGAAAGAGTAGCAAAGTCCAGAGCTTCAGCCAAGAACCAGGTATCTGATTTCCTGACCCCTCTCTCCAGGCTCAGCTCTGCTCATTGCTGGCCCCAGCCACAGACAGCTGGCGGCGTTTAGGGAGAGGCTGGGGCTGGGGCAGGCTGTCCTAGGTAACCTGGCTGTTGTCAACAACACAGCAGATTCCTTTCATCCCGATGCATTATCTCCTAACTCCCTTATCATCTAACAGCACCCTCCCCCACGCCCCACCGTGACTCTTCCCCATCTCTGGCACTGCCTGCAGTCAGGGGGCCACCCTGCCTTCTCAGAGCCACCTGAGCCATGGCAAACACAGTTATGTAACTGCTCTGTTTTCCTGGCTATCTGATCCTGGTCAGCTGCGTGCCCCTCCCCCACCCTTTTGTTCTGAGGATTACCCCCCAAGACACCCAAGTTAACAGAGGTCTGTCCATGCCCGCCCACCATCCTAAGGGGGGATTAGCCAGGAGACCAGCCGCAGATGGGTGGCTCTTCCTAAAGCGGGGTGGGGGGGGGGCCTGCACCAGAGTGGGGGGTGCTCTGCAAACCATCCTGTCACCAAGAGGAAGGATGAATGGACATAGCACTGAAGTAGCTTTTCATTGTGAGTAGGATGAGCACACAAGTCACTTTTATTTCTCCACTGGGAAAAGGAAGCAGGGGTTCCCAGAAGACATAAACCTGGACTCTTACTTCTTGAGGACTGTCATTACTGGGCACAGGGAGCTTGGCGTTCAAATGCCACTCTCAGATCTACCCTGAGCAGCCCAGTGGCGCCCGGCACCAAGCCTCAGCCCCCAGGCTGGAGAGTTAGGCAGCTTCTGCTATCCTTTCTCTCCTCCTCCCCCGGGATGGATTCCGGTGTGCTCTTTAGTGAGGCTTGAAGCAGGCCTCTCTGTGCCCTCGGAAAAGTGCTCTCTGAGGACTGAGCAAGCAAACTGGAGGGGCTTGCAGGCAGCACTGTCCCTTCTGAGGAGGGCACCTTCTCTAGAGAGGAAGACCACAGTCACCTAATAGTGAGCTGCTGCAGCAGACACCACAGCAGGAAAGGGGCTGTGTGCCTTCTCCTGGGCCCAGCCCCTTTCTGCCGGGCCCTCTCCTGATTCCAGCCCCTGCTCACTCACGCCAAGTTCTCCCAATGGCCTTCATCCAGGCCAGACCTTCACAGGAAGGGAAGCAACAGAAGAGGAACACAGAGACCCACTGTGAGGCTTGGAAGACTCTCCTAAGCTGACAAGGTCCTGACCTGGGCCATCTGGGCTCCATGATTTTGGGTATAGTCCCTGTAAGGTAAGGGATCTCTGTGGGTGAAAAAAATACCCATTCCAGGTCAGGTGCGTCGGTGTGGGCAGCCAGCGGCAGTGGGCGGGTCCCCAGAGGGGAGGAGAGGAAGGCTTTTGGGCCTGCCTTGCAAGGACTGCCTTTCCGCAGCCTGTGGGATGGACTGGACAGGGTTCTATTCAGGCTGCTCAGAGTGGACCGCATCTGAACCTCAAAGGCTGTGAAAGAACTTGGCCTCTTGTCGAGTTCTCCAGTCTGTCTGCAAGGAAGCCTCTCACCGACATCCCAGCCCCCACCGGCCACTCTGTCCCTCCCTCTACAGATGAGCAAACACACACAGGTGCAGATGGGTGTCCTTGAGAACCGTGCTGGATGAACCTCTTTCGGTTCTCAGGAAAGTAAGAGCAAGAGGCCACCCGCTCTTTAGAAAGCAGATTTTGTGAGGCAAAGATAAATAAGTGATGCCTCAGAGGGAAAACCCAGCCAGGTTCACTGGGCCACAAATGGCACACAGACCAGGAGCCAGGAAACTAGGTCTGCATCCAGCCTCTTTCCCCGCGAGGCCACCTCAGATAAGGAGGATAAGAGGGCTGGGTTGCTGGCCCTGGACACAGTGTAGTGGAGCTCTGGCCTCCAGACAAAGAGCAGCCTTGTCTTCCCGCCTCCTTGAGCTCTAGGGCACACCTCCTCCTGAACTGCAGTAACGTTTCAGAGGCTGCCTAATGTACCGTGGAGCTGTTAACTCGCTGCATCAAAATTAAATAGGCTTTCTTTCTGAAACCTGGAAGTTATGATACAAAAACAAGACTGTGCAATTACTAGAGCAGGCAAGGAAGTAGGGATTGAATGTACATGGAGAGAGAGGTAAATGTGAATTTGTACTTGAGTTCTTCATTTCCAGGCATAAAAAAAAAATCTTTTTCATAATGCTGGAAATTAGGGTCCATATTAACTCAGCATTTGGCTTAGGGTTTAGCTGAGGTATAAGGACATTGCTAAGTGAGGAGGCTGTTTATTGGGAACGATGCCAAAATGTGTTCTGGGCTTAATAGAAATTAGACATCTGGGCTCATTTTCTGGCTTATAAATTGTGCCGTGGCCCCTGATGTCATCAGTAAAATGGCCTGACTCAGGCCCAGCAGGCCCTGGGCTCGCCCTTTTGCTTTTCCTGCCAAACCGACAGAATTCCCTCATGGACACATTTTCCACTCCAAGGGCCCTGGGGGCTTTTTCACCCCCACCCCACTGGCTCAGTGGAGGTTATTTTCCCCTGTGAATCTGCATGGTATGCCTGCTTTTCAAAGGAATCAGAAGGGTGACCTGACACTTCGTTTTCTTAGCGGTCTCATTCAACTCCACGTTCAACTTGTCTCTGGCTTCTTCCGCTTCTCCTGATATGGAATTCATCCATGTCTGTGATTAGGATCACATGCACAGTTATTAAGTTACTGCAATAATTATTTGTATCTTTTGTAAGGATTTCATCTTCTGGGATGTCTTCCTTCCTTGTCTCTAAGTAGTGGCCTCTGCCACAGAAGCCACACAGAGCAGGGAAAGGAGGGTTAGTGGGCGGAGCGCCAGGAAGGAGGTGGGGCAAAGGAGTGAGTCCCCACTCCTGGGAGAGACAGTTACGCCACTGCACCACCAACCACACTAGTTTAATCCTCACCTGAGGTGGCTATTATTATTGGTGTTATTTTTACAGAGAGAGGAAGGGGGAGAGAGAGAAACATCTATCATTTGGTTGCCCCCCTAGGTGCCAGAACTGGGGATCAAACCCTCCAACTTTTGGTGCACAGGCTGACGCTCCAACCAACTGAGCCATCCCGCTAGGGCTGAGCTGGTTTAAATCTAAAGGGCTGAAGAGGTGAAGGGAAGAGGTCTTTTACTGTGAGGGTTCTCTTCCTTGAGAGGGGACTTCCTTGGCAACCTCAGCAACCAGACCGGACGCCATCCGTCAGGCTGTCTCTCCCCTGACTTGTGGGTGACTGAACGGTAACAGCCACAGGTAAGTGCCTCCACCAGGAAATGAAGGAAATAAAGACACAGGGAGCCAAGTAAGTTACCATTTAAAGAGTGTTTGCTTTTCTTTTTTTTTAGAGATAACTTCCAAATTACAGTAAGAAAGTTATAACAAATTTCTTGTTCACAGTAAAGACTTAATAAATGATCTCTGCCAATAAGGAACATTTCCACCATTTTCTTTAACAGTACTGAAAAGCAAGAAAAAGCAGGTCCTTTCTAAGCACAAGGAAACAATCCATCACCCAGAAGAGCCTTGGAGGAGGTGCACCCCACGCTCATCTCCTGTGCCTGGCCACCTCCTCCGTCGGGCGAGACCAGGCCCTCGGGGAGCACGCCCGCTGCGCCCACAGCCGTGGGTCCCAGCGCACAGAGGGGAGAAGCGGGGCTCCTGACAGCACCTTCCCAGGACTCCTGGCAGACGAAAACATCCTCACCGCTGCACACCGAGGTCTGGGGCAGGCCTCCTCCTCCTCAAGTGCCCTTCACTTCAATACGCAGAAAGAAAATGTCACCTGGAGACAGCTCTGGCAAGGGATCGGGGCAATCTGGGCGAGGACTTACAGGAAGCCGGCGTGCATGGCCCGGCTTTAGCGCTGCTCAGAGGGACAGTGGGCGTCCATGTCCTTGCTTCTTGATCGTGAGCCCCCCCAACTGCTCATGTGGATGTAGAAGAGGATATGCATAACCCTGTCACAGACAAAGGTGTTCTTTCAAGTGCTGCCGAGGTTGCTGGGGTGTGAGGCCCAGGCCCCTGGGAGGGACTGTGCTCTCCAGTGTCACCTCCACCTTTGTGACTGCACAGATGAAGGCAGCCGCCCCTGACCCTGCACACTCTGGGCCAGGCTGGTCAAGCCTCCAAGTAATGCAGGTCCCCTCGGACACGCTGTCAGTGGCACAAAGCTCGATGGTTAACACGGTTCCTGCTCAACTCAAGATAAGAGCAACAACTTTTTTTTTTCCAACTATACAGCTCTCTTCCTCTGCCTGCCCTTTCTTGGGGCTTTCCTCTGAGCACAGGCTCACAGCTTCGCTGAGGAGGCCTGTGCTGATCAGCCCTTCGGAGCCACCACCTGGGTAAGCCGGACTCTCCTCAAGCTGCTGCTGGGTCCTCGGCTGCACTCCACTCCCCCTTCGAGCAGATCTCAGAAAAGGTGTGGGCCAGGCGCTAGGTGAGGTGGTATCCACGGTCACACCTGCAAGTAATTCAGAAAACAGAGCCTCCCTCTGAACTCTTTGCTGCCTGGGTGGGAGCGGCTGAATAATGCTTTGAGAAAAAGTGCGTTCCACTGTTACTGTAGCAACTGTAACAGACATGGGGGGGGTTCTAGAATATCTCAGCAGGTCTTTATGGGTTTGGAAATAATTTTCAATACCAAATCCAGAAAGAAAAATTGAATAATTAACACACACACACACACACACACACACACACACACACACAAAAACCTCTGCATTAGTCAGTCTAGAGCAGGCTCTTCCTAAAAATCATTTTAACTGACTGGTTACCCAGATTGGTCTCAATTTTCAAAACCTTTGAGTTTTCTATTTATAAATAACGTACAGCCAAAAATTCTGGGTATTGTCTACAATATTTCATAAAACAGTAGGCAAAGGAAGCTGATTTCAGCCTTAATCATTCGGAGAGTCTGGAGAAACTCTCAAGTCCCAAACGCGAGCAGTGAGCCCGGCTATATCTCATGCGGGCACGGCTGTGACACTCGTCTTACCTGAGAGCAGCAGCCGCAGACTCTGTGCTTACGATTGGTTACTCAGAAGAGAATCCCAGGGGCAGCGCCACGTCTGGAATGCCCCAAAGTTATCTAACTTGAATAAATCCTACCCTTGCTCCTTAATGTCATTAAATAATAATATTCTGTTGACAAAGTAATAAGTTTTGCTCTACCTGTTTTGAACTTGTCCTGATTTACAAGGAGAAGCTGTGTAGGGACAGAAAAGGCAATGTGCGTACAGACAAAAGGACATGAAAAAATGTAGGTACCCCTGGGGAGTCGGTTCTTCGGTCCCTAGGCCAGGAGCCACATCAAGCCTGTCGGAACATGAGAAGCAGTGTTTACTCTACTGGTTGGTATCTAGTCGCAAAAGCCACGGGCTCACCAGTGTCTGTGCTCACAACCAGGGTTACCTTGAGGTTTGAAAGGAAGTGGAGGCCGCTCTTGTTTTAGCATTCTATTGAGCATGCATGTGCGCGTGCACACACACATGGCTTATTGGTTTGGGTTGTTTTTTTTTCTCCAAATGTTAAGAACACAGATTTAAACAGTATGTATGTTTCGAACTTAGGTGAGTTTTTAAATATTTACTTAAAAAATGGTCATCTGATCAATTTGAGATTTTACATGATGTAGATGCAGACAAAACTGGGAAAACTTGGCCTTGGGAAGCATCCTTTCTAAGATGGTATTTCACTTCACAAGCATTTACAAAGAAGCCCTCCAACATGTCTAGGGAACTGAGGTAAGAAGCCGTGCAGCTTTTTCTCCCCCAGATTAGACAAGTTGAAGAAAACAAGGTCCCGGTGGACCTTAAAGTGAAGGCGAGGAAGAATCAGGTATTTTTAGTATCTGGAGCACACGCAGGCCAAGAGTTAAGGGAAGAGGCTCCGACAGCGCCAGCACTCAGATCTCTGGCAGTGACGGAGCTGGGCAGAAATCGGTCCTACCACAGACCCAGCATGGGCCACCAGCCATCTTGGGAGCTACTGTTTAGATTAGAATGTTAAAAAAATATGCTAAAACCCTCCAATGAAATCTAGAGTGAAGAAATACTATGAGTACAATATAGTCTTAACGCCCCTGCCCCCTAAACCGTCAGGCACAGGAGCCGGCCTGGGCGGAAGCACCGGCTGGCAGCGCCACCTGAGGAGGCAGCACCGCAGTGGCCTCCACACACAGTTTTCTGCAGCACACAGGGACAGAAAGCAGGGTTTTCTGCCATTCCGCAGGGTTTTCAAGCCTGACTGCCTTCAAGAGCTGTTGCTGCTCTATTTTAAGCTCCAATTTTCTTGAACGACAACTTCCTATCTCTCTGCTGTGGCCAAGCCTTCAACAGCTCAAAGGGTGCCCATAAGATACACCCTTTGGTCGTGCCTCTGTCCAGGAAGCTTGTTTTATTGGACAGCTTCTTTTTGAGAAAACATTCCTAAATAATTGTCCTTTTTACTAGCACAATATTACTTTTTGCTTATATGGATGTATACCAACTATCTCACTACTTGCCTGCTGACTGAAGTCCGTAAGAATGGTTTCTACCCGTACAGTGTGCATGTAAAACAACCACCTCGGTGATAAGCAGAAAGGGACGAGGGACCCCCATCCATCGAATGTGTCGTGTGGGCTTTCTCTGTAGGTGAGATTTCCAAAATGGTGATCTTTTCTATACTGGGCCTGAGGGAGAGAGGAATCTGAGGATATTCAGGTGATGAATTCCATTTTCATATTTATTTATCCTCACCCAAGACATTTTTTCCCCTTGCTTTTGGAGCGAGAGGAAGGGAGACGGGAAGGGAGAGAAAGAAACATTGATGAGAAAGAGAAACACCGACTGGTTGCCTCCTAGACTCGTCCAGACCAGGGATCAAACCCACAGCCTTCCATTACACACAACGTTCCAACTGACTGAGCCACACTGGCCGGGGCATGAATTCCATTTCTAAAGAAGTGGCGATCAGTAAAGGCCTCTGCTCCCTTCTTGTGTAGGTTTTGTTGGCAACCCAACAAGAGATTTTTCATCTCTGTCCTCGATAGCCTTCCTTTTTCTTTTAAATAATTTTTATGTATTGATTTTAGAGTAAGAGAAAGAAAAGAAACATCGATTTGTTGTTCTACTTAGTTATGCATTCACTGATTGATTCTTATATGTGCCCTGACCTGGGATTGAACCCGCAACCCTGGTGTATCAGGACAATAATCTTAACCAAATTACCCAGCCAGGGCCTTCTATCTTTTTATTTTTTATTTAAAAATATATTTTATTTATTTATTTTCAGAGAGAGGAGAAGAGAGGGAGAGAAACATCAATGTGTGAGGCAAACATCAATTGCACATCCCACAACCGCGGTCCTGGCCCACAGCTGAGGCATGTGCCCTGACAGGGAATTGAACCAGGGACGTTTCAGTTCACAGGCCAGCGCTCAGTCCACTGAGCCACACCAGCCAGGGCCTTCCTACCTTTTTAAACAGAGTAATTCATGCCACCAGGTTCCATTCCCTAAAATGCTTTGATCTTTAGCATAAACAAATTTGGAACTGCTAGCAGAAGTTATAGAAAACAGAGGTAGATGAGCTAAATCCTCATTTTTCTAGCGAAATTGTGTTTTGGATAAGGCTTTTGTTGTCCTTGAAATTCTCAACGTAAAGTATTGGGTTGGCCAAAAAGTTCATTTAGTTTTCTCTGTACAATGGCTCCAGTAGTACTTAGCTGTCTTTAACTTCATTCAAAACAATTTTGTTAGATTGTGTTGTGACAGCTGTCATGTCAGTGTGCATTTAAAAAAACTTATCAAGATTGGTGAATTTTTGTGCAGCCATTTTGGTACTGAAGCTGGAAGAACATACACAACATTTTTGGCATATTATGCATGCCTATTATTTCAAGAAAGGTAAAAATGCAACAGAAACACAAAAAAAGATTTGTGCAGTGTATGGAGAAGGTGCTGTGACTGATCAAATGTGTTGAAAGTGCTTTGTGAAGTTTCTTGGTACTACTGACATTTCGGCTAAATAACTCTTTGCTGTGGGGCTGTCTTATGTGCTGGAAGATGTTTGGCAGCACCCCTGGCCTCTACCCACTAGAAGTCAATAGTGGAAGATGGCCAACATACTCAAAAAAGCCAAATCAATAAAGCTATCAGTGAAAATGAAAAATGTGTCTTTTATTTATGGAAAAAACTAAACAGACTTTTTGGCCAACCCAATATAACTGTCTGAGACACTTGCTCCTGTGCTGGATGCCTGCACCCCGAGGACACTAAGAAGCCCCATAGACATGCACTTGAGTGCGGTGTCGCCCAGCTGTGCACACCCACTGCCGGGCTGACCGATGGGTATTATGACATAGCACCCATCACCAGGCAAAATCAAACATGGGAGCCTAGAGACCCCGAGATTTCCTTCATTAGTTGGTCGTGACTTGAAAAACCAAGGGAGGATTATTCAAACATTATATCTGAATGCAGGGAACCGCTTCGAATGGCGTGGAATTGTAGCTCAGCCTCCACATGGAAAACCAGTGTGAGGAGAGTAGCACGCAGGACCACGCCCATGGAGAGGTTTCCCCGTGGGGAATCAGGCCTGCATTGTACCTAGACTGCTGCGAGATTGCTTCTGCTAGAACTCCCTCACCCTGAACTGAGGCAGCAAGGGCTTACTGCAGCTTCCTAAAGTCTAGCTTTAAATGCTAGACTTTAAAGTATGGAGTGTGATCGGTTCAACCACTTTTCCCCTTGGTCTGCAACATCCTTCTCTTTGAAGCAATTAGCATCATCCTTTCCTTTGTTATCTGTAAAAGGCAGTCCCCTGCAGTGAACCTGTGCATAGTACATGAGGACTACCCTCCATGTAAGGTACCCAGAGAAGCAATAAACGCCTGTCCAGGCAGGGACTGGGCTCTCTGGCCCTCTCTCTCTCAGAGAGTGGCCATGCCATCCCTTTTTCTCCACAGGATTTCTGTCGTCCGTGTGTACATGTTCACTAGCAGCCACACCACACATGGATCCTGCAGGCCAAGATCCGCCACATCTAAACACTTGACTTGTATTCCAAAATATGCTGACAGACACTGCCATACAGTTCAACCTGATGAGTGTTGAAAGATGAAGAAACACCCTGTAACTGACATAGAAGATACGGAATCCTCACTCATCAGTGCCCTTCAGCAAGACTTCCAGTTCATAAAAGGATCGTTCCACCGTAGTCTGTCTTCAATGCCCCAGTTGGTTAAAGAAAACACTGACTCAGGGAGAGGGGGACGGGGAGTACAGATGCTGTAACAGCTGATGCAATACACAGAAGGCTAAGTACCTCTGTTTAAGGTTTGCAGAGGGCACTTAAAAATGTTTAGACATGCAGCTTTCTTTGCAGATGGGGTAAATCACCTAGGATTTAAAAATGAAAGCAAAAGGATCTGGCAACAGATAAGGACACTCCCAAATTCTAAGGGAAGTTTAAACCAATCGTGCCCATAGTTAGAGGAACACACTTCAAGTAATTCTAAGAAAACTTATACATTTTGTCTTACTTCAATGTATTAAAAGGAACTGAGAGTCCAACAGAAAGTAGGTTATGGAAAACATTCCCCTTGGCCCTTAAAAATCACTGGCTTTGGGCTATTCATTTAGAAATTCTACTATAATCAGGTTTTCCACATGAAGAAAAGTTAAAGCAACTGAAATCTAAGAGATATTATTCAATAGTACCCTGTAGAAAGGAAAAAAATAGTCTTGTATTTGAAAAGTCATTGGTCTGAAATGACTTCTACCGACAAGACAAAAGGCTGGCTAGTTCAAGGCAGAAACCCAGGGTGGATTTTCCAAGGCCCTTTTATTAGGGGGTGGTCCCCTTTATATAAAGCACAACACTTCACATATGTATCAGACAACTAGATCAGTTCCCAAAAATTAAGAAAAAGGAAAAACAAAACAGATGCACTTCTTTTATATATAAACATAAATTAAAGAATTTATAAAATGGTCACCTTTCTTACAGAATAAATGCAGATGGTATGAGTGCACCTCCAGGTTTACGTTGTTTAAGTTGCTTTGTTTTGTTTTCCAATAATAAATAAATAAAATTTGTTCTTATGTCTTGGATCCACCTGTGCCACAGCGGGGCTCCGAGTCATTACTGGCTTTTCTGCCCTTGTCGCTCCTGTGTGTGGTGTTCGATTGTACCGAGGTCACTGATTTCCCGGGCCCATCAAGGTATTGGCTATCTCTTCGGGGTGGCATCCGCTCATTGATTCGGTCCAGACCTCGGGCTTCTTCAAAACTCCGGATCCTGTGCTGAAGCGAAAACCCTCTGATGGCTACAGAAAAACAGGAAAGGGAGGAGCTCAGTTGGACAGCAGAGTGACAAGCTCCAAGTTTCTTAGCACACAGCAGCCGCCCGGGGAAAACACGGAAGGGTGGCTAGGGAGCACATGTCTGGTGAGGGCCACAGGCAATATTTGATTTGAATTAGCTTGTCTTGAAGCTACTAATTCCTTAAGGCCCCCAGGGTAGCTGAAACGTGAAAGCCATTTTCATAGGAGTTGATACAACAGATCATACATAAGTATGCCAGACAAAAAGGAAACAAGTTCTTACTCAGCCCCAGTACATTTGGGAAAGAGTTTCTTATGGGCCAGAAACGTGCTCAATGTGAGAGAAAAAAATGAAACACTAGAACATAGAACAAGTTAAACAGAGTAGTTACTTTAGCACAAACATCACAGTAACCACAAAGAAAGGTAACAAAGAACCAGTGTTTTTGTTTAGAAGGACAGTTTTTTATCTTGCACAACCAGGAGCTGAACGTAAGTTAAAGCCATCTAAACAATAGCGTCTAGATATTTTCCTTGATTGAGCTTTTGTATCGTCAAGGACAGGCATTCCTATTTTGAGTCACCTTACCAAAGAAAACAATTAAATTTATATCACAATATCAATTCCAATGATTTTGATCCACAGATTCATAGGTTATTGTTACTTAGAATTTGCTTTCACAGAAACACAGATAGTTTAGCTTGACTGTGTTACGGCACCCTCAGAAATGAATCAAAGTAAATTCATGTCTACTGTTGCCTCTGCTCTTGATATTCTTTAGCATCATTAGATAAAGAGGCTGACCTGGTTGAATCTCCAGTAATCACATGGATGTCTCACATACGGAAGAGCTATAGGATTAAACTACTTGATCCCTCAGACCAGTTGCTTAAGCTGCGGCCATTGTATTAAAACAGAGCCCAGAAAGGACTTTCGTTGTGGAGAGGGTGGTTTACATTAATACAACTACAGGATACTTGTGAGCATGCCTAGGAATATCTATTCCTTTTCTCACTGTTACAGTTCTGGTGATGCAATAATAAAAGATTTCAAATGTTGACAAAGCTTTTCAAAACCAGCAGACAGACACATGATCACATCTATCACAGGAATACGGCCATACCTTCCTGGGCCTCTACCGCTTCTACTGTGGCTGTAAGAGGCAGGAGCAGTGGCATGCAAAAATGAAGACAGAGAAGAGTGAGTAAACCAACAGCAGTGCCGCCAGCAGTCGTCCTCGGTCCCCCCAGCCACTCCCATCCCTAGTAAAAGTCGACGAGTTAGAGAAGCGAGAGGATTACTGCGGAAAAACTGAATGGGGGTGTGTGGGGGGGGAATGCAAGGTGGGGAGAGTCTCTAACATTTCAGGCAGCATGAGAACCTTTTAGCTAATGGCTTTATTTCTAAGCCAGCTCGGTCACTCAAGAGTTACATTGCTTTCCTGATTTTAAATAGCCAGATGCTAATTTATGTCTTGACATTCACATAGAGTCAAATAATTTCAAATAATTTAACATTATAGCAGTTCTTGGGTTTGTGATAGCTCAGATGGTACTGAGTGAGCTGCTGCTGGGTCCTATTCAAAAACATTAATTTAAAAGTACTTCTGATTGCTCTCAAGCAACTTAGGTGGGGTCCAATTGTCGTTTTAAACCACTTAAACTTTGAATAACCTTTGAATAACACACTGGCATTTGGAAGGAGAGAAAAATGAGTTTTAACTGAAGGGTTATTATTTTTTTTTTGTCCAGGAGTGGAGTACTAAGCTAGCAAAGGCATAAAACTGTTCAATTCTGGATACAGTTTCACATACCCTCCTGGACTAGAGACCCAGTGGA